TTGTATTCCTTCTCTGTTTGGGTGCTGCTGTGCCCAGAAGTGGTCAGGCATGTCATATGGAGTAAGGTGACTGTTGTAAGTCACCATGGTAAGCTTTTAGAAATGAGCTAGGACACAGGACTTTGTGACCCATACCACTGAAGAGCACAGACATGAATCTGAAAAACTGACAAATCTCTTTTCATTTTTTAGGCTGGAGAAATCCCTGCAAAACAGCATTAATTTCTAGTCATCTGTATGGGGTTTCCATACAAAACATAAAGCCTGTGAGAAAAAGGCTGGACTTTGCTTCAGAGGATGACTCCCTCTGAACATCCATGTCAGGGGATGGGGAGAGTGAGAGGAGCATGAAGAGGTAGCAAAGCTCTTCATCCTGTATGTGGGCCCTGTCAATGGCATTGCTGCTGAGGACAGAGGCTGTGCCTTGGGGAAAGCAGGTGACTCCTGGGGCAGAAAAGCATTTGGAAAGCACCTTGTGGATCATTTGCAACCTGTCCCAGAAGCAGCTCCTGCTGAAGACAACCAAAAGCTTCCCCTCAGTGCACTTCTGCATGCAGATCTGTACAGACAAGGATAAGACCTTTTTTGCATATTAGAGGCAGCTTTTTTTCATGAAAGGAGAGAAATATGGTCTTAGTGCCACATCAAGAGCATTACTGTTTCTTACTGGGTTCTTTATTAACTACTTGCTTACTTGTTCTTGGAAACATTTTAAAATTACAAAATGCCTTAAAAATATTAGGGGGGATGTCTTCTTAAAAAAGTTGTGGAATTCCTCTGCAAGGGCTGGGTTTTACATCCTAATGGGACTAAAGCTTTTATCTGGAAACAGGAAGCTTATGCTTACTTTTGAGCAGATTTTTGAGAGCTTTATGGAGAGTGTGATAGGTCCCTCTCCCATTTGGGGATATTCTGCAAATGGAGATCTTTGAAGGGGGTGTCTTTGAAGTGAGCATCTGCCATCCCAAACTGTGAAAGGTGCTTAGGCAAAAAATTTGTTTGCTCTTCAGAGAAATTTTATCCTAAGGATTTAGTTGAGGATGGCACTCATGGCATTAGATGCAACGAGGCATGACTTGCAAATACTAACCTATTAAAGCAATTAATTCACTTCCTCCAACAAATGGTACGATTAAAAATGTGCCTAGGGAATGCTATAAATATACATCTATGACTTGACTTTTCTTCCCAGGAATCTCTGGCTAATCCTAATGAATAACCTGTCTCTAAACTTAAACTATCAAATGAAAATGAACAGCCAAATATTTTAAACTATTGCTTTTTATTATAATTACACTGGAGCACAAATAAATAAGCACTAAATTATTGTAAAATATTGTCAATGCACTAAAGAAAGCAGAGTTGATCTTCAAACAACATCTTATTACTTCAGAAGTATCAAAGTACATTTAATTACATCTTACCTAAAAAAATCAAGTACAAAAATGAAAAGAAAATTAATATGTATTTATACTGTGTATATAGAAACGGCTAATAATATATGATTACAGTTAGCCTCTAGCTACTCCTTAGTCCTACACAATCTCAGGCACATACCTGACAATTTCTAATGAAATATAAAAAAAAGCAACATGACATTCAGTTTCAAGATATTGGTAAATGTATTACATTGGAATGAACACAGAATGATTTAATTTTATTTAAAAACCCTGTCATTTAAAAACATAGTGCCATTGTCCACTTAAAAATAAACAACCCAAACCAAAAAACCCCATACTATTTTATACCATTTGCTTTAATTTGTCAAAAGGAGCGATAAAGTAGACATACATTGGCTAATATACGTAAACACATTTTTAGTGCAAGAATTACAAGACCTGTGACTTTACTGTGCTTTCTTGAAATCACAGTGCACCTTACACAAATTGCTACACTATAATGTTTAACTTTAGGAGTTTAAAGCAAAATAAGTGCATACCAAACAATTTCGTATATACAGTCTCCATAAGTGTGTGTATATATGTGATCTGTATGTATATACAGATTGCATATTTATACAGACTACAGCTTTAATGACCGTGTGTAACTAAGCACTGTCATTCACCCTGTGACACAGAAGCTGCTGAGACAAGAGGTGATGCAGGAAATGTTTGACACACTGTGATGGCAGCTCTCGGCAGGACGATGTGCCTTTTACCCGAGCCATGGGGTGGGCCAGCAGTCAGGGGACAGGGCAGTGGCTGTGTCCTGCTCTGGCTCTGTCCCTGACCTTCGGAAACTCCGCCTGAGCCTCACGCCCCTCTCAGTAGAACGGCTCTCGCAAGCATGAGGTTTACTTCACATTTCTAAAGTGCTTTGAAAGTAAGTGCTAAATTATATTTTACTTTTTCATGTTGTCGCACTTTAAAACAAAAAGCCATTGTTTCCATGGGATACAATGGAGGTCTGGAAGCACGTGGGCAGTTATTTAAGAAGGACAACATAAACAGTGGTGAGCAATAAAAGCGAAACAAGGAGTTTGCAGTGGGCTAAGTGTACAAGCAAGCCTGCTTAGGACAAGAATGCTTCAATTCCCTGATCGTTATTCCTATTACATCTCGATATGGAAAGGACAGGATATAAACAAACACTACCAAGGACAGAACTGTTCACACTGACACTGCCTTCCCCCAGGGGGTGTGCCCGGGGTCTGCGCTGCTCTGGCAGCGCGGATTCAAAGGAGCTGCTCCAGGAGGAGACCAGTGAGGACCAGAACTGGCAGAACTGGCTGAACGCCGGCTTGCATTTTGTCACCAGTGACTTTGTGCAGATGGGGGAAAGGGCTGAGCTAAGTATTTCACACATGGATACCGAAAATTCTTCTCTTCCCACATTACAAGGAAGACAAAGCATGAGCACTTGCTGAATAATGAACCTGTTATCTCAACAGATTTCTCATGACCAACAAGTTGTCTCCTTTCCAGCAGATCCTGGAACTTTGCGAGATCACTGGAGTTGTTCTTCTGCCATTTTCTTTCTTTAAAAAAAAAGAGAATAAGCAGAATAGACAGTTGGTGTCTTTTGGACGTAACGTGTTCAAAGATTCCCTCACAGCCTCTGCGTTTTTTCATGTCTTCTGTCATTTTGGCCGTGAGGGGATCTTCAAATCTGCATTTCAATTCTGTACCTATTCCATCCTTTGTATATTCATAACACACCAATATTTAACGTATGCAGATATACGTATGCACACATCTATGGGTATATATAGATACATGCATATATACATGTATATGTGTGTACACATATGCATATATACATATACAATAATGCTAATATACATACACACATATAAACACACACTTCATCTTTTACAGAAATCTCAGTTTGGACATCAAAATATACATTAGTTAATTAGTTATAAAATATTTAAAAACTTTATTTCAGAGGCTGAAAGGAAACTACTACTGATAAAACATTACTGAAACTCAAACTTTAGCAATATAGATTACAAAAACCTTCTAAAATTTGTTATTTTTGGTTTTTTTTTTTGATCAGCAATTACAGCTGTGGCAATGCTGTCAATATAATTTCAAAGAAAAGCCAATATAACAAGAAGTTTTAAACAACACACCTTTTCTTCTTGGAGAATAAAACATTAAAATGATTGTTTTAAAGAGGGAATTTTGTACTACCAAACTTCAGACACATAGAAATTTTAATATACAAAATATATGCCATAGATCTCTTTTACCCCCCTACTCCACCGCAGTACAATTTTCCCTCATCCTCAACAGATCCTTTTGGAAGATATTTCACCGCACAGATTTCACCCTCATAATCAGTATAAGCCATCTCTTTCTCCCGTTAAAACCAGGAGGTCATAATTCTTTGGTCATGACATAATATTCTGTTAAAACGGGTGTAATATAATACAGGATTGCAAGCCAATTCCAGAAGCAGCCAGGAAGAAGAAACGGCATAGGCAGGAGAACATGTTACGCGGGCTTCTGCTTCAAAACCGCATGAAATCAAGAGGGATTTCCCAACAGCCTTTCAAGGGGTCTGAAATCCAGCCCACAGAAACAACAAGCAGAAATCTGACACGGTGTAAGGAAGGATGTGCTGCTGGATTTAAAAATAATAAACATGTAAACATATTTTGTCACCTTTATTTTCTGGACCGTTGGTAAATGTGGACAGGGACGGCGGCCGCAGTGGCACCGCCTGAACCCGCTGAGCGACCGGCTCTCTCTGCCAAGGGCTGCACAATGCTTAGTCACAGTGAACCATGGTCTCTGCTAATCAATGGGACGTCATCGAGGAAGAGATTCTGTCGCAGGCTTTGCTGCAGAAAATTTAGTTCCTTGGCCAAATCATTTTAGTAACTGGTTTATATGAAACCAAGGACGATTTATGTGGTTACCGTTATGAGAAAACAGGTGCAGAACAATTAATGTTTTAAATGTAACTTGGGTACCTGCACTAAGCACTTGTATTTTTGGTGCTGGCAGGTTTGTTGTTTCCCACCAGAACTCTCCCCTTTGTCCATCCCACCCCCAAGCTAAGGACATCTAACAAGGACGACTCTAGTTATCTTCTACAGCCCTAGCACTGAGATGCTTTGTACATTGTCCTCTCCAACAACACGTACAACCACATGCTTTTGTACAGAGGCCACATCTAGGCAGGTCAGAGAAATAAAACAGTGGCGGTGGGGGTGAACAGTAGAATAGAACATAGAAAATAGGTAATAAAACAGTATAACAGTAACATTATATAGTAAAATTCTCCATAAATTTTTGAATTTATATATATATATATATATATTTATATATTTAAACAGTGTATTAGTTTGCGTGTTTTCAATATATTGGTGAAATATTTACATTTTGATATCTTCTGGATCCAAAAAAATCCTGGGTAAATATGTATGCCTTAATCCAGTCGGAAACTTAAATCTCTCTCTTGATTGACAGGTGAGCACTGTACTGGTGTGTTTTTTCCTAGGAAGTTCACCACCTGCAGGTAAGTCTTAGGTTAGAGCCTTTGCCTTTTAAAGAAAGCAGGCTACCTGTGCTTGGTGCCACACAGTGGAGAGGGCATCCTCCACAGGCCTGTCAAATTGCAGTGTCCCAGAAAACAGTCTGTTGTTTGGAATAAGGAGGAGGGCTGTACTTCTTGGTCCCAGCATTCTTTTTCCAACTCGGCAGAATAGGCATGCTGTCCTGTTTGCAGAGTCCTTTCTCTGATTTCTGTCGAGCTTTGATCTCTTTGCAGAGGCAACGCTTTTTTTCAATCATGTCCAGCATCGTATGGTCCCCTTGCAACCATTGCATGCACGTCACCTATTGGGGGAGGTGGATGGAGAAGAGAGGAGGGAGAAAAAAAAGAGGGAAAAAACATACAAATAACTGTCTTGGTCATAGATTAAATATGCTTTTTCTTTGCAAAGTTATCTTACTCTTATTTGAAACACTTTAATTTTATGAATAAAAATCTCTATGCGAACAACAGAAACAGTTAGTCTTTACTTCTAACTGCTTCTTTAAGGAAAAAAAGGGTAATAGAAGATCTCTGTTTTAACTTCTTCAGAGCACTAAAATCTAATAAAGATAAATGGCTTTGGCTATCTAGCACTGGTTGGATTTTAAATGATAGAATAGATCTTAAAAAGCCACATGGATCTTAATAACATCCTTAAGCTATGGAAATAAAAATTCTACACAGTGAAACCCATGTTTTATATTGCTTTCCAAATCCAATCTGTCACATTAAAAGCAGGGTGTTAACATTTCTGAGTATCAAGCTAAATATAACTGTTAAATTTTGTTAAAATGATTTAATGAACTCCATGCGAGTTATATGGATTAACCTATACTACTCTGTGATATTTCATTAACTGGAAGGCATCAAGAGTTAAGAAACTCCATGTTTTCATGCAGGTGGAATACTGGAGAATGTGATCGTGATCCAAAAGGGGAGGTTAGCATATGTTTAGATGTAAGTACATGTCACAGCCCCTCTGAAGCTGAGAATGTGACTTCATTTGAGTTCAGTGGGGAGTTCACAATTGAAATTGTGTCTTCAGAGGCTTTAGACTGGAACAGAAATCACTAATAGTAAACTCCTCTGAAAGGGCTCATTGGTTTTGGATACCACTGCATACCTGCAGCTCAGACAACTTCCTCTCAACACTTACTTTGGAAATTTGAAGTGATGTCTTGAGTGTCCCCACATTTATTTCCCAAGAGTTAGGGATTTGTGTGTAAGTAAACACATGATACATTCACGGGGGCTGTCCAGGTACATCTCTGCTCTTGTCATGAAAATGAACATGTACAGCAATACTTTGTCAGAGTTTGCAGTTCATGAAGGAAATGTATCTTTATTATTAAGGGCATTTGAATACATTTCATAATGCATATACCTTTCATTCACAAGTCTGAGAATGCCAAGCATGGGCATATACCAAGTCCCTAGAACTGGGGCCTGGTTTGTCTAGAATCCCCTATAGAAACTTCCTTGGATCTCAGTAGACTTTGTGTTCAGCTTGAAGTGTGTTTAGCATTTATTGATAATGGATTAAGAAAATGCTCAGATTCATAGCAGAAAGCAAAGCAAAAGGAATAAATTTAAGAAAGCCTACCAGCAAAAGTAATAAAAATTATGTACTCAAACAGAAAAATTAATAGAACACAGAAATGTCAGTATTTTTTGTAAAAAATTAAGGGGGCAAAACAGGATAAAAGAATTTTATCACAAAACCATGCTTACCTTATACATTAGATAGTACTCTGAGTAAAACAAGTTAAAACCATAATATGAATTTTGTTCTTGAATGTTCTTATGGATTTTGAATTACACAGGTAACTTATCTGCAATGTGTCTTCCTGACTGGCTGAGCCATTTCATCAGGAATTCTGCTGTGCCTGCACTTTTAATTCAATACTTATTTTTCATTTCAGGCATGATCTAATGTTTTCTGTGGTGCAGGTGGGCATGAGGCACAGCATCTGCCATGGCCATGAGGAACCAAGCCCAAGCTTGGTTCCAAAACTCCTTGTGTGAACTGGAGATGCTCCCCTCCCACCTCTCAGCTCCACTCCACGGATCTTTGGAGAGGCTCTGCCTGACCCAGATTTTCCTGCCACTCTGCTCACCAGTAGTGGGTCAGTACTTACACAGCAATGTCTTCAGCTTGGCTGGGTCCTCCTCCGTGGGGAAGGACAGGGACACAGTCTGCACACAATTCATTACACAAATATTCACCAGCACAGCAGCTTCTGCGCCAGGCTTGACGACAACAGCGCTTGAGCATGGATTTCCTCTCGTAGGCGCCGGGAAACACCTTCTCTTTTATAGCCCATCACGTCACAGGCAGAGCTGTGCCAGTGCCAATCCCCACAGCACGGTGTGCTCCAGCCACCAAGTGTCACAAGCACCGCACGCGCCCCGTGACAGCCCCGTGAGTGTCACATCCCGTGAGCCACCCCCGCTCACCGCAGTGCTACACACAGTGCAGTGCCAACACCGTGCCTTGTGGTACCCAGCTCCCGCAGTCCAGGAGCTATTCAAGGGGATGGAAGCAGCATTTGGACATGCTGATTTCTAAAATGCCAATTGCAGCTTCCCAGAGATAGAAATGGAGTCGTAGAAAGTATCAGTTACAGAGACACTCTGCCACCCCTGCAAAACAGCACCGAAAATATACCCAAGAGTAGGCAGCTCCAAAATCCCTTTTTTATACTGGCCACTGTATTTTGTTACAGTTAGTGAATCATTTACTGTGAAAAATTTGAATTTTCCCACTTGCTCAGACACAGATTTTCAAGTCTACTTGGGATTTTTTTAGCGCTATTTTTGTTTGATGGCTAAGTCCTTCCTATCAGCATCTTCTTAGGTGTACTGTCCATTTGGCACAATCCTCTTCAGGAACTGCATTCAGTAACGGTGTGTGCAGGGGGAACATGTAGAACTGGGATGGGCAAAGTCATTTACTAAAATACACCAAGAGAACAAATATGATGTTGAAAGGCCTGAGGGTAAAAAAAGCTTTAATATTAAAATAAGCCTAAATGCTAAAGGTTTGTTTGATGTTTGTTTGTTTTTTATTTTTGCCCAGTTGTTTAGTGTTTAAGTGCAACAAAATAAAAATATTAGGAGCAAAGGTTCATGGCCACTGGAAGCTGTGGAACAGACCTGAGAGGAAATCCCCACTGTAGATCAACGAACTACAGAAATGACAATAACCATGTTGATGATATGAAGTCCTAGAGTGTTAACTCAATTTTCAGTGTGTCCTAGACAAATAACAGGCACTGAGGCTTACAGGCCAGGATTCAACCCAGCTGTTTAATCACAGCAAAAATGCTTGATGACTTCAGTAGGGCTACTGAGGTGTTTAAAGCTAATGTGTTTAACACCACAGTCTTAGGCCAAATCCTCCCAGTGACTGAACTGATGGCACTCACACTTAGTTCCAGCACTAATTTTTTCTCATCCTCCCTCCTTTTTGGCTTAAGTCTGCTCCTCTGGTCATGCACCAGGCTGTTAATACCCCTGCTACATCATAACAAGGAATTTGGTCAGCGTGAGAAACACAAAAAGGAATGATGTTACAACCTAATTTATGGAAAAAAGTAGAGCATTCAAAACATTTTACAGCTATACAGCTCTCCTGGGAAAGATCCCATCGTGCTTGAGGAATGGTGCACATACTGCAGCATGTCAGAGCTTGGCTGCAGATGTGGATGTACACAGACAGGCACAAAATGCATCAGTACTGGAGGTAACAGCCAGCAAGACAGAGCACAGGAGAGGAAAACTTGGTTCTGACCAAAGAATCTTGGCCCCAAGCCTGTTCTTACTGAAGAGGGAAGAAAAAGCCAGAAACTAAAGTTAGGATTGTAAGAAGGGACCTTCTGGAGATTCCAGGATGTGTACCAGGTACTATGTCCCATAATATCCGTTGGATTATAAAATTTGCTGATTGCATATGAATTTTTATTTTGATGGAATTTTTACTCATTAGATTATTCAAGGTATAAGACACTTAAAAAAATATTTTAAATCAGAGCGAGAGAGTGAAGAAAAACACCAGGCAAAGGCCCAGAAGTTTGGACATTCACCAAGAAGGTGTTGGAGGTAGGCTCAATTCCTTGCTCCTAAGCAGGCAGTAAAATCTGTGTGATACCCAGATGTGTAGGAAGCAGACAGGAATGTAGGGTGGTTGGATAAATTCTCTCTCCTGAATGTGACTGAGTGCAAGAGTAAACTAGAATGTCTGACAAGTTCATGGTAAACACACTCACCCTTTGATTAGTCATCAGTCTCTAGTTTTCCTTCAAAAGTTTTCCTCAAAGCAAATGCTTGTGCCAAACTTGAACATCGACAACAAAAAGTAAGAAACTTCTTCCACTATACAAAACTGAGCTTTTCCATACAGTTTTTATCACCAACTTTGCAATCTTTAGAAGAAACCAGTCTATGTTGCCACCTTACTTTTACTATTTTCTCTCAGTTTTCTGGTATTTTTTAATTCCCAAAACATTTGAAATAAATATTATCAAGGACTTTTATGTACTCTTGGGTTCTGTGTTGGTAGTGCCATAGAACAAGAAGTAATATTATAAACCCATCTTCAACTAAGATAAAACAACTTTACATATCCTCAAAACAATGCAAAATTAAAATCTTTCAAATTAAAAAATAGATCCCTTCTGGTGGGTGTTTCAATGCTTTATGAAGGTCAAAGAAACAAGCTAGACAAAGTAGTTCTCTTCTCTGCAAAGTGAAAATGGAACATTTTTGTGTGTGCCTACATTAGCAGTGGGCCTGACCTCATATCTCATCGGTTTGAAATTTCATATTATTCCAGAAAGATAATTAGCAGTCCCAATGGTTTCCAAATACATGTATTGCTTAAATTAGATTGCCCTGAGCTAGACCACAGAACAGTCTTGCAGCAGAGGTTTGATGGGCAGAACATGTCCAGTTCAATCGCTCTTAGAGGCCAGGACTTGAAGCCAGAGGTCAGTACATGCCATAGATCTCTGCCACATCAGAATTTACTGGGAAAAGCACACAATCCCAGGGAAAATTCAGAACAGGCTTTGGGGAACAGACAGTGACTCACCCTGCCAGGAAGCCCCTGGTGTCACAGCAGACTATTTCTGTTCTCTGTTGCCCTGGCCCTGTCTCTGCCCAGCCCTGGGCACCCCACCACTGACTGCTGGACACTGCTGGCCTTGAGTGCTGTGACACTGCACCAGCACACCCACTAAAGTGCTCAAAACATGGGTGTTTGAAGCAAAAAGGGAAGTGTAAATGAACATGGTTCTTTCCT